CCTTTTGCAGATCTCCAAAGCCACTTGTGTGGAGAGACTCATGAAGTTCTACATTTGCAAAATTTGACAAGATGCTGAAATAAGAAAGATAGATAGATAGATAGAGAGAGAGAGAGAGAGAGAGAGATGCTGAATATACCAAACTATTATTGACATGACCAAAGACTTTTGGTGTTGGTTCGACATGTGAAAGATGTTACTCACATATTTACAAGCATATGCACAGGTCTGTTATACACATACACAATTGGATTCTACCCACACATACATAAACGGGCAGCCTAACACACCTTCAGCAACTGAATAATAACGTATTATTACTGTCATGCTTTCTGGAAAAATGTTTGTTGTTTACTCACATTCTATTGCCCATACACAATGAAAATGCTGAGTGTTAGGATTTTAACATAATCTTTTTGCCCTAAGCTTTTACCAAGAATGTTTCAAGGCATAGCATTAAATAACCACCCCACCATCCCATGCCATATGTTAAAGAGTTAAAGAACAGACAAGTTTGATCATTTAAAGCAATCAGAACCATTATCATCAGATGATGTCTATTTCACAGTCTGTCAGTTTCACAACCAGTGGTCTCAAACTTCAAGTCAGCCAATACATTTTTCAAAGCAACACAATGAATCCAACCATCAACCCTTCCTACATATAAATCATGCCAAAAGGTAGAAAAATAGTAATGATGCTGTTCTCATTTAGCTCTTCATATGCAGTCATTTTAAACACTGTGAAAATGAGTACAATACACGTTGGTACTTCAGTACATACCTGGGAAACCCCCTTGTACCATTGCTGTATCAGTATACACTTGAAGGTATCTGCATTCCTGACAAACATTCAAATGCTGTGAGCCGCTCCGGTCCTCATCACACCATGTACACGCACACACACCGAAGGAGACTCAGAGCTTGCCTTTCTTCTGACGACCTTGGGCCTGACGGAGAGATTTCCCTTGCTTTTAAGGGCAAGCTGTCAGCTCTCTTTCTATGATGAGATGTGATCAATTACACTTAATTTCAAGCTTTGCTCGCAAGCAAACAGTTACAGCTGTCGGCAAAACTGCCAGCGCAACTATGCAGGGGAAAAGCAATTCCTCGTTTCCAACATCTGACCCACTGCTGCTGCTGTTGCTGCTGCTACGTTATTGCATTGCCTGAGATCTCTAATATTCCAATGGCATCCCCTGTCCCAAAACACAACTCAGTTTAACACAATGCTGTCCCCTTTCCCCCTCTGCTAGCTACAGCTAATAGGATTCTTAATGGCCCACTCTTAATTGTACAGAAATGGTTCATAGTCGCATTGATTTATAGATACATGTTTCTGGTTCCAGTCATCACAGAATGCCTGTCAGCTTTGCAGAGTTGGTTATTATCTTCCACATTGCACATTATCAGAAATGAGGCAGAGGATTGTGTATTCCAAAAACAAATCTGTGCTCAGAGTCAGCCTAAAGCCTTATCTTTGCCATGCAGATTTTTAAGTACTTGATGCCTTTTTAGTAAATGCAATCATATCAAAATACTCAAGGAATGTGGTATCACTTCATGTTTATAGCAACTAAATACTGTCATGAGCCTACACATACTGTATGTAGCAAGAAAATCATATTTTTGTTCCCAAAATGTTGATTTACCCTCACATCTAAACAACATAATGTCTTTTCTTTCAGATATAGATGGACATGTGTATATCTGTACACCTACCATCTGCTCAGTCTATTAACTGAGAAACAGCTGCAGTGTAGTTATCAGATGCAACTCCCCAAATAGTTCATAGGAAAAGTTAGTTTGAAGAAGAACAATGAATGTAGTGATATGCTAAAACCATTTATGATCATACTGTGGTACTATGATGCTCTGGGTTTAAATTATCAATGGCGTTAGAGCAGGGGTCCTCAAACTAAGGCCCAGGGGCCGGATGCGGCCCTCCAAGGTCATTTACCTGGCCCTCGCTCAGGGTCAACCTAAGTCTGAAACAACTTGAAATCACACAACAACAACAACAACAACAACAACAATCCTATCTCATCAGGCAAAAGCAGGCCCACACTTCCCATTGAAATACTAATAAGTTTATATTTGTTAAAATTGTTCTTTATTTTTATTATTGTATTGCTTTTAAGTGTTTGCTTTTTTTTTTTGCACTACAAATAAGATATGTGCAGTGTGCATAGGAATTCATTCATGTTTTTTTTCAAATTATAATCCGGCTCTCCAACAGTTTGAGGGACTGTGTCTTGGCCCTCTGTTTAAAAAGTTTGAGGACCCCTGCTTTAGAGTATCATTATATCCATTCTAATGAAATGCAACTGTCTATGCTTTGTAAGCTGTGACCAGCAGTGCTGCAGAATTTGAAGAGGCATGAATGGAGGACGAAAGGGAGAAATATGCCAAGAGGAGGGCATGTCAAGCCAACCCTGACCAGGACTGCCTTCATCCTGGAAACCGAAGTCCTCACTGTGGAAGAATATGCATATCAAGAATAAGTCTCCAGAGCCACATACGTATCCACCGCCAAGACACTAAACTTGGAGGACCATCATCCTCAGGCTACAAGGGATCGTCTAAGAGAAGATGCTTTGTTAACTATTTTCAGTGTTCCAATTCTTTTGTAGCAGTGATAGATATAAAAGAATTGTGCACAGATACTTTAGGAAGCCCAAGTCACTTAAAGCTACTATATCCCATCTAATCTTATGTGCTAAGCAGCCCTGGTTAGTACTTGGATGGGCCATTAACACTGAATGCTAGGTGCTGTAGACTATATTGAAGAGGAAGGGACTGGAAAAACTACCTCTGAGTATTCCTTGACAATCCTAAGGCACATAGACATATGAATACACTGCATATACATTAACCAGAAACAGAACACATACCTGGGAGACTACATGACATGCAAAGTACAAGAATGCAAAGCTGGACAGGGCTACAGTATATTCCACTGTCTTTTGAGAAAAATACAATGAGAAAATAGACCAAAAGGAAAGTAGTTATAGGAAATAAAGATTAGTGACAGCATCAAAATTTAAAGCCAAGTTCTTTGATTAGATTAAAATGCTACTTTTCACCTGTCATCTGGTAGGGACTGAAACAATATCTAGTGTATGAAGAAAACCCAATATTTTGTTGAAATCTGCAGCTTCCAGAAAGATTTCTAAAGTTATTTGCCTTGTCCATTTCAGATTCAAGAATACTTGCTGCTGGTTGCAGTGACATCTATTGGCGAGGCAGTGTTCTGACTCCACTTCAAGGCAACAAACCGTAAACAAAACAATCTTGGTTTTATTTTTTTGATTTGTATTCATCAAACTATTCTTGCCTTCCCTTCAGAGTCCTACATGCAAAAGACCCTGAAGATCTTTATTCCCAATAGCTTCACAGAGTCGTCAGTTCAAGTCAACTGTGCATTAATGCATGTGGCCATTTATCAAATTTGTACAAATATTTAGAAGAAAATTATAATATTTTTCCATCATATTTTATGGTGCTATTCTAGTTTTTTCAACAATGCATGAAAATATTGAAGACAGCCTTTCAATCACACAGCCTTAAATGGTTTCAAAAACATCCAGAACTGACCTTCCTTCCTTCATCACTAAGGCAGGCTTTAACTCCATAGGGGGTTCAGAACATAGGCAGCAATTTAATCAGGGCATCACTGAAGAGAAATTAGCTTGATCAATAGAAAATGCCACATTTTGCCTCAGTTCCCACATTTCTAGCATTACAGTGACTCAAATATGTATAGCATTTCCCAAAAAGCATCCAGGATAGGTTTGCTTGCTGATTTGAACAACAACAACAATTTGATGCTACATTTCACATGACAGAAGGCCTTCTTGATAACTGCTTCCAAGGCATGGCACTTTCTGCCAAGAGAGACAAGGCTGATTCCATCCACTATTGTCATTTCACTAGCAGGAAGATAACATTTTTATTCAGGTGAGGATTTTTCTTTTTCTTTGTTTTGCAAATGACTGCCTTTTTATAGACGTATGCCACACGGTCTTATAAATATGCTTTTAAATTTCTTTTCACTTAAGAATATTTTAAGACTACAATTTGATTATATCTTTAAGGTTCTAAGATATGAGATGCTTTTACTTGTGTCAGCCTTTTAAAAACCTGTAAACTGCCTCAGGAGAAAGGCCTAATAAAAATCAATTTGAATAAACAAACAGCCACTCCCCCCCACTAGTTATGTGGTATCCCTTCTGATTTTATTTTTGGTGACTTTTTGGCTTGTTTGGTGAGGTTGCGAGAGCAAAACCATTGTGTTTTCCAGTAGTTTTAAGCATCCCTAGTAAGACAGTAGATTTACCATTTTGGACAGAGGTCTTGGGAAATTTTTGAAGTTGCAAAAAAATGGGTCTGGGCCCCTAGAATGGAGCTGGGAGATAATGAAACCATGTCTGCCCTTGCAAATGAAATTTTCCTTCAATACTCGGTTTTCTAATTGTTGCAGCGACTTAAAACCTCATTTGAACATTCAAAGTGCAAACAAAGTTTCCAAAGGAATGCAAATATAGGAGGGATTTTCAAGTGATTGTGTTCTGTAGTACTAGAGATCTGGGGACTGAAAAGTTTTATTTGGAGGGCAGAATTCCCATTGAGGGGTAATACCTTCATAGGAACCTCTTGGACGTAAAGTCTGCACTTTCCCCAGCTCTGCATTACAGGAAGAACAGCAACAAAAACAGCCACAAGTACAAAAAAGTAATCAAGAATGTGAATGACAGTCAATAAAGAAGCTGTAGCAATTTTTCCTTTTCCTGTGGTATAGAACTTGCTGTTTTCATGTCAAATTTATTTTCTTCACTCATCTGCCCTCTCATTCTTTCTCTCTCCATCATCCCTGTTAGTTTCTTTACACATCTTATTTGGTTTTGAACTAGTGTAAATTTTCCTTTATAACAACTCTCCGAGATACATTTTCTTCTCTTTGAGGCTTTCCTGTTGTTCCTCATAGATGCAATAACTCACCTTCTGTATAAATGTCCTCTTCTTCCTCTTCAGTTTCCCCAGAACTTGATTTTTGGGGTTCTTTGTAAGGTGGTGGCAACTTCATGGGAGGTGGGGCACCACTTTTCTTCGAAAAAGAAACAAAAGAAACATCCAAAAGTTTTTTTTAAACATATAAACACACAGTACATCTTTGAGCCTATTCGGAACAGCACAATATATAATATATTGATTTCATATCAGTTTAGTGGAGAAAAATATTGATAGTTGCTTTGAACTTGCATGATAGCATATATTGAAAGAATCTTTTTTGAAGAGATTTGAATTACTTCAAAAATAAAGACATATTTTAGTGAGCTTTTACTTGCTTTATACAAACTTAACAGCCACTGTAGACTAGACTATCTTATACAGATGTTAGTGCTGGTTAACACAGAATATATATCACAAACCGTTCAATTAATTTTCCTTACCTCGCAGAAGTAAAGACACTTTCGATAATGATGCATAAAGGGGTTCATCTTGGGCCAAAAGGAAAAAAAATCAGGGTTTTTTGCAGAGACACCTTTACTCATCTGTTTCTCTGGCTCCAAGCAACTTACTGATTCTTGAGCTACAGCTTTCATTATGTGCAACTGCACTGCATACAATCACAGTGCTAATAGCAAGAAGCACTTTAGCAAACAAATGCTAATTGTATTGAATACATTCGCAATAGTAATAGCAAGATGCACTTTAGCAAACCAATTGTGTGGACTCATGAGGGAGCAGATATGGCCGGAAACTCATTTTTATATAGTAGAGAATAATTATCTGGGGGTCACATGAAATTTTCAGAAAGATAGCTCTCCATTGCCCAAACAGTAAAAGCAGCTACTTGATATATACTTTGGAACTTGTTATGTACTTTTCTAATCTTATTTGAACTTTCTACTTTCGTTTTAAATATAAATTATTCTAATGAGTGAAATGGAATGGGAGCTAAATGCAAAAATTGAAGAAGGCTAGAAAAACGTAACAGTATCTTATCTGAAAGTAACTCTTGGAATTAAGATGTACTCATGTGTGCACAAAACAAATCTGATACAGTTGATAGAAAGTGTTTTTTTTTTTTAAAAAAAATCCAGACAAGGTAGATATCTATTTCATAAAAAAGCTTCCTCACAACAAAATTGTGCCACAGTGGCATTCTATCCAAATGAAACCTTTTTAGTCACAACAGTAATGAAGAGCTGAAAAAGACAAGATGCTGATGTACTATATACTTCTAGCATGACATAAGTATGTGTCAAGTATATTGTTATGAATGTGGTACTCCATTTATTCAACTCTTGAGAAGATTCACCTGCTTGTGCAACATTTTTAGGCTAGGCTAGGATCCCAACAGAATCCAAGCCTGAGTACTTTGGCAAATTGCCCAAGTCCAATTTTGAACGAATATAGGTGACAAAGTTGTTCTCCTCTACCCAACTCTCTCCAAACAGCTTTAGAAGGCTTTCTGCCCTTCTGAATCAAATTTTGAAGGCAGCAAGAAAGAGGAATCACCTGATTTTAATTCACCAACAAAGGTCTTCTGCTGATGGAAAACAGTCCCACACTCAGTTCTCCTGCTATGATCTTTAAGGAAGAAGTGATAAATTTATTGCTTCTTCTTTGGAGATTAAGGAAGAAGTGACTGCAGATTAAAGAAGAAGCAATAAATTTATATAATAAAACTATAGTTGGTTTATGTTGAAATGAGTTGTTCGCCTATTCTTAGGACTTTATTACACAAAGCCACTATTCCACAGTGACAGTGGTCACATATATTGCATGAGCACCCTCTCTCCATTTGGGGAATAGTGCCAATTCACTGATCCGTGGTCCTGTGGTCATACTTCTGCATACCCTCGAAACCCTGCCTTCCTGCATTTCCATGGCTCCGTAATTTAAAACATACTTTCAAAAGCAAATTTACAGTTCTAGCAACTGTTAATTATTTTTAAAAACCAAATATTACTGTACAGTATCAAAATTAACAGTGCAGGAATAGCTTTGCAGAACAACAGTCAACCGTCAACAGAATATTTCCAAACTAAAAAAAATCAATTACAAAGATCTACAAATTACTACTAGAATGGAGCACTGAAAAAAGGACAAATTAAAGATTGTATGACAAAATGGGCAAAGAACATAAGTAGGATGATTATGATGAATGAATGGGAGAAAATTTGGAATAAAAAATTAGACTATACTTACTCTTACGATTTGAAAGACAACTGGTTAAAAATTATGCATCAATAGTATCTGACACCTGAGAAATTGACCAAATTCTGCAAAGAAGTAAACTATAACTGCTGGAAGTGCAGGAACTGTGTATGCTCATTCCACCAGATGTGGTGGTCATTCAAGAAAGCTAAATCATTTTGGGGGGGAAATGAAACAAAAAAATACCATTGCAACCAGAATATTTTATTAGGGATGACCAATATAGATTGGAGCTTGAACAAGGATAAAATATTTACTATCTAATGGTAGCTGCAAGAATACTGTATGCCAAGGTATGGAGACAAGAGACAATTCCATTCAAGGAAGAATGGTTAGAGAAAATGTTAGATATAATGAACATGGACAAATTAACTTTCTTGGTATCAAAAACACAGGGCATACCCTGCAAAACAACTGACTAGAGCCCACTAAAGGAGTGGTTAAAAGAAAACAATATTAAGATACTAATTTAACAAGATAAAATGATATGGAATAAAATACCATCGCGAGAAGATAGGAAAGACGAGGTGGCTTAAATTCAAGAAAAGACTCAACTTTGAGATTAACCACAATGTACCACTATAAAGAAGAATGGAAGTATAACCCTCCTTGTTCCCCTGTCTTCCCATCCCCTTCACTCCTCCTCTTCTCCCCTTATATCCTTACCGACCCCACTCTCCCCGATTTTATTTTATATTATAAAACCTTAATAAAATTACTTAAAGGAGAAAAAATGGCAGACTGGCAGCAAGACAAACATTGCATTGTGCAATAGGGTCTAATACTAAATGTGACGGTCCTGCTTCAATGCCACTTTGTCTCCCAAAAGCTATAAAGTCCCTCGAGTCTAGGCACTGTTATTTTTCTACCCCCCCCCTCAAATACAGTTTTTATAAACTTATGTTTTGAACCGCCAAACTGTTTCTAATTGAATTCTTATAATTATTTTAATTGTGTTAATTATAACTGTATGTTTTAATGTATTGTTTTTGGCATATAATGACTACCTGCTGTAAGTCATCATGAGTCCCTCTTCAGAGGTGAGAAGGATGGGATAGAAATGCCCAATCCTTTCTTGAAATAGAGGAGAAATACGGTTTTGTTTTGTTTTAACCCCTTTCATGAATTATTTTCTTCTCCAGCTGGAGAGATTGCTTTAGCTCAATGGGGACAAACCCAAATCTGTGCTAATACATAGGAAGAATAAACATTAATTTATTAAACGCAGAAGTAACTGGATTATGAGTTTTCTCTTCTAATATATTCAATGCTTCTTGACAGGCCCGTAGCCAGGATTTTGTTTCGGGGGGAGCTGAGTTTGTTTCGGGGGGGGGGGGGGGGGCTGAGTCTGAGTGAAAGAGGGTCTACCCTAGCAAACCTTTTGTATCGTTACCCCAATACCCCCATGCATATGGGATATATTGAGCATGGTGATCAGATCATGATATGAATAAACATAACAGTTTAAATAATGCACCAGTAAGGCCTTTTCGCGAACCACCATGAGAATTTCGGGGGGGGGGGTGAAGCCCCTCAAGCCCCCCCCCCCCCCCCCGGCTACATGCCTGCTTCTGGATATTCCTTTCAAAGAGAATTTAGGGTAGAACATTTGTCCAGAGACATCGTTCTTCTACGTCAGGTTTTGTGATTCCTATGCACAGTTGTTCACAAAATGTAGATCAATTTGAAACCCTCGCCTAAAGAGCTGGAAGAACTGTGGGATATTTTTCTTGACCCTCAAGCTGTATTGAGGAGGCTCAGGCAATTTTCTGTCTATGGTTCTACATGACATAAACCAATAACATGCTTGCACAGCTAATTTTGAAATGACTTAGCTTCTAGTAATTTAAAGACAGTAAGATTTGAGATGTAGTTCTACATGTTAAGCATCTGATTATTTCCATGTATTCAATTACATTTTAACAATGTGTTTACTACTTTCATTCAGCTGCATGGAGCCTCCGGTGGCGCAGTGGGTTAAACCCTTGTGTCAGCAGGACTGAAGACCGACAGGTTGGAGGTTCAAATCTGGGGAGAGCATTTATAGCCCCCTCTTTCAGCTCCAGCTCACCATGTGGGGACATGAAAGGAGCCTCCCACAAGGATGGTAAAGCATCAAAAACATTGGGTGTCCCCTGGGCAACATTCTTGCAGATGACCAATTCTCTCACACCAGAAGCAACTTGCAGTTTCTCAAGTCGCTCCTGACATCAAAAAAAAAAAATAGCTGCATGTTTCTTCACTGGATCAGTACATACTCCAATAAATAAGAAATAAAGGCTACCCCTCTTCCGGCAAGATCTCTACAGATTCCAATGAGCATCTCCACACTACTTTCTAGCTATATTTTTTATTCATGAACACAACAAGGCAATATCTTTTGTTTCTACTGCTCTGTTGCTGGTATCTTTTTGAAGTTTTTCTTCCTTCAGAAGAAATTCCACACAGGACTCACATGACGACAACCATTTTAAAAGTGTGCAAATCAAAAGAAGAAAACAAAAGCTTCCTATTCAATGCTGAAATAAGCTTCTCTTCGAACATGCCACTGTGCAATGACAATTTATGAGTTGCCTTGAGCATACCAATGGAATGCCAGAATTAAAAATAAATGGGATCTGCTGCATTTGCAAAACCTAAATATATCTCAGCACTGCATGTAAAACTATTGGAAAATTTATTATACGTTCTTGATTTTTGTTTTATAGTGTAGTATTTGGAATACTGAGATTTTGTAAGGGAGATCTCTAATTGTATACCAGCTTCTGAACTCATGTATTCCATTAGCCTTTGATCACATTCTTGCGTACACATCTACATTAATAGTCCTCTGCATGATGAATAGAAATGCTTATTGCTAATAAAAAAGAAACCATTAGC